TTGTGTTGGCCAGACTTGAGTCTTCCCCTTCCTCTTTTAGGAAGGGACCTTCTGGCCAGAGGGGGTAGTTAGCGGGACCGGATCAGGAGTGACCAAGATACTGAATAGAGTGCCTTTCTGAAGAGTTGTCTTGGGGAAATGGGAAGTGGACGAGTGGGCGGGTTGTTGGTCGGGCTGTTAAGTTTGCTTTCCTACTTGGAGCAGGGATGCTGCAGTTTGTTTCATTAGGGCCCGGGTGGGCACTCGCAGCCCTTAGATGCTCACACCCCATGCCGGAGGGCCTGAGTCGGAGTCCCTGTTCATTTCAGGTTATGGCTCAAATGCTTGTGTTCCTGCCACCCACATGGGAGACTGGAAAGGAGTTCCAGTTTTCGAGTTTTAGCCTGTCCCAGCCCTGGTTGTTGATATTTGGAGAGTGAGCCAGTGGATAGAAGATTCCTGCTCTGTCCCTCTGCTTTTCAATAAATATTTTTTTTAAAAATTAGAGTATTAAAATATTTTCTATCAATGTTTTGGCATCCAACAGCTTCTTCCTCCCTTCCTGAAATAACTTCATTTCTCAGATAAGAGATGCCATCAGAAGATCACACATAGAATAACCCTTTAGAGCTTGGTAATTCTATCTCATTTGGTAATCTCTTCTGGAACGCTGTGTTATTGAGGGAAGTATTTTTTCAGGGATAAAAATGAGGTTTACTGGGCAGGCAAGTGGAACAGAGGTTAAGTTGCTGCTTGGGATGCCTTATCCCATACTGGATGGTTCAAGTCCTGACTTCTTCACTTCTGATCCAGCTCCCTGCTGATGCATACCATGAGAGGGCGGAGTTGATGGCCCAAGTGCTTGAATCCCAGCCACCCATTTGGGAGATGTGGGTGGAGTTCCGGGTTTTTGGCTTTGGCTTGGTCCAGCTCTGGCTGTTTGTTGCAGGCATGTGGAGGGTGAACCAGTGGATGGAAGAAGTCTAAGTTTCTGTTTCTTCTTTTCAAATAAAAGTGAAAATGTAAAACAATAAACAATTTGAATGAGGTTTATTAAGGGGACTGTGTGTATATTTTTCCCCCAGAAAACTTTTATTTAAGGTATACAAACTTTATGCATTTCATAAATACAACTTTAGGAACATAGTGATTCTTCCCACCTTTCTTCCTCCTCCCTCTCCTATTCCCATTCTTATTATTTACTAAGATCTATTTTCAATTAACTCTACACATAAGCTTAGCTCTATACTAAGTAATATTTTTATTACTTCTTAAAGGGAAGCACCTGCATTATGTAAAGGAGGATGGTAGAGGTATTGGTTTTAGGTTTTTAGAAATAGGTGGGTTAAAGTTTTTAATCTAATTCCATCATGACCTTGGACAAAGTCATTTTACCCCCATATGTGTCTTCTCTGCTGTAAGGGGATCTGACACTGACCTAGGGCTGCTGTCCAGATTAATTAATTGATGGATTGCAAGAAGCTTAAATCCCAAAGCTTTATTTGCCCACTGCTAAGAAGAGTCTGGAAACACATTTATCTAGACAAGGGCTACTGCTGTGTACATATACCTCATTTTATCCTACAGTTAGGGGATGTTTTAAAAGTGAAACTTGAAAGGCAACAACCTAACATCAAAACTGGAATAAATAGAATGTAATCTTTTTTTATTTATTTTTATTTTTTATTTTTTGACAGAGCGGACAGTGAGAGAGACAAAGGTCTTCCTTTTGCCGTTGGTTCACCCTCCAATGGCTGCCGCGGCCGGCGCGCTGCGCTGATCTGAAGGCAGGAGCCAGGTGCTTCTCCTGGTCTCCCATGGGGTGCAGGGCACAAGCACCTGGGCCATCCTCCACTGCACTCCTGGGCCACAGCAGAGAGCTGGCCTGGAAGAGGGGCAACTGGGACAGAATCCGGCGCCCCGACCGGGACTAGAACCCGGTGTGCCGGCGCCGCAAGGCGGAGGATTAGCCTAGTGAGCCCCACGGTGCCAGCCGTAATCTTTTTTTGATGTGGAGGGAGCCTTTTTTGTACCTGAATCTTTACAAAATGATCAATTCTTTTTAAAGGTAGACCTGTTAGAAATTATTTCAGAAAACTTGCAGGTGCCTATGTGCATCTTGTGTAATAAATAGGTGCGTAGACAGTTTATATTTCGTGAGCTTTGTGTTAAGAAATGTTCATAATTATTTTAATTTCCCTTTATATAGGATGACTGCCATAGAAGCCATGTAGATGGAAAGGTATTATGCTCCCCTAACAAGTAACTTAAATAATCCCAATTGTCATGCCTTACAGAAGGGTTAGTGGACAGAATTTTTAATATTTCTGCAGTTTGTAAAATGAGAAAAATAGAAGTTTATAAGAAACATGTTTAATTTTAAGATCTATTTTATTTATTTGAAAGAATTACAGAAAGAGGGAGAGACACAGAGATCTTCCATCTGCTAGTTCACTCCCCAGATGGCTCCAGTGGGTGGAGCTGAGCTGATCCAAAGCCAAGAGCCAGAAGCTGCTTCTGGGTCTCCCATGTGTGTGCAAGGGTGCAAAGACTTTGGCCATCCTTTCCTGCTTTCCCAGGTGCATTAGCAGGGAGCTGGATTGGAAGTGGAACATCCAGGGCTTGAACCAGTGCCCACATGGGATGCCGGGGCTGCAGGCCAGGGCTTTAATCCACTGCACCTCAACTCTGGCCCCTTACTTTAATCTTTAAAAATACTGGGGCCCGGGTCTGGTGCCATGGCTCACTTGGTTAATCCTCCACCTGCAGCACCGGCATCCCATATGGGCGCCAGTTCTAGTCCTGGTTGCTCCTCTTCCAGTCCAGCTCTGCTGTGGCCTGGGAGGGCAGTGGAGGATGGCCCAAGTACTTGGGCCCCTGCACCCGTAAGGGAGACCAGGAAGAGGCACCTGGCTCCTGGCCATTTGGGAAGTGAACCAACCAACCTGAAGGAAGACCTTTCTCTCTCTCTCTCTCTCTCTGCCTGTCAAAAAAAAAAAAAAAAAAAATACTGGGGCCTGCGTTGTGGTGTAAGCCTCTGCCTGCAACATCTGAGGCTGTGTGGGGCTGGGGTTAGGAGCTCGGGACTGTGTCCAGGGCTCTCATGTGGGTGCCTGGGACCCAAGTACTTGAGCTGTCACTTTCTGCCTCCCAGGCATATTAGCAGGAAAGTTGGATTGGAAGGTGGAGGAAGAAATAGATCACAGGTACTCTGATCTGGGACATGGATGCCCTAAGTAATGACTTAACACACTGCTTGCCCCAGACTTTTTTCCTTAATATTTATTTTATTTATTTGAAAGACAGTTACAGAGATAGGTAGAGACAGAGAGGTCTTCCATCTGCTGGTTCACTCCCTAAATGGCTGCAATGACTAGAGCTAAGCTGATCTGAAGCAGGAAGCCAGGAGCTTCTTCCAGGTCTCCCACGTGGGTGCAGGAGCTCAAAGACTTGGGCCATCTGCTGCTTTCCCAGGCCATAGCAGAGAGCTGGATCAGAAGTGAAGCAGCTGGGACTTGAACTGGCGCCCTTATGGGATGCCGGCGCTGCAGGCTGGGGCTTTAACCCACTGCATCACAGCGCTGGGCCCCCTAGACAAACTTTTAAAAATTAAAGCTCCGCCTGTATAATCATGCAGACTTGGACTCCCCAAATTTTTCTAAAGATACATCTTCTAAAATTGATGTCATAGTAGTTAGTACCAGTTAGGTGGACACACACACACACACACACACACACATTGTATTTCACTGTAACCTCAACATGGCTTTGTGTGTCTTGAATAAAGCAATTTACATAATACTGTTTTCTAGATGTATTGAAATACTTGTTAGTAGTGTGTACCACATTTAAAAAAAAATGTTTTATTTATTTGAAAGACAGTTACAGGGGCTAGCTCTGTGGGTCACTAGGTTAATCCTCCGCCTGCAGCGCCGGCATCCCATATGAGCGCCGGTTCTAGTCCCGGTTGCTCCTCTTCCAGTCCAGTTCTCTGCTGTGGCCCGGGAAGGCAGTGGAGCAATGCCCAAGTGCTTGGTCGCCTGTACCTGCATGGGAGAACAGGAGGAAGTACCTGGCTCCTGGCTTTGGATCAGCATAGCTCCTGCCGTAGGGGCTATTTGGGGGATGAACCAATGGAAGGAAGACCTTTGTCTCTGTCTCTCTGTCTCACTGCCTAACTCTGTCAAATAAAAATCTAAAAAAAAAAGTTACAGAAAGAGGTAGAGACAGAGAGAGAGAGGTCTTCCATCCACTGGTTCACTCACCCAGATGGCTGCAACGGCCGGAGATAAGCTGTTCTGAAGCCAGGAGCCAGGAGCTTCTTCCAGGTCTCCCATGTGGGTGCAGGGGCTCAAGGACTTGGGCCATCTTCCACTGCTTTCCCAGGCCGTAGCAGAGAGCTGGATTGGAAGAGGAATAGCCAGGACTAGAACCGGCTCCCATATGGGATGCCAGCGCTTCAGGCCAGGGCTTTAACCTGCTGCGCCACAGCACCAGCCCCATGTGTACCACATTTTACATTTTTAAATGTTAGATGTTTTAGTTGGGAGCGGACAACTGGGGTAAGATTCCTCTTCCCAGTAATGCTCTTTGATTGGCTGGGGGCATAATTTTGTGTATTACTAAATTAATTGTCACCTCATTGGCTTCACCAAATTGTAATGTTCAGAGAACTGAAGTCTAATCTTAGTGTGTTTTGGGCACTGGGTTGGAGCTTTTTATTGAGTTTGTATTCCTATGAGGCATGCATACTGCAGGCTGTGGATACCAAGCACTGTAGTTTTACTGTAATCATGTAACTCCAGAAACAAAGAACAAATCCCTGTCAAATCCGCGTAATTACGAGGTCTTTGAAAAGGCAAGATCCTCCCAGTTATCTTTGGTTATACCAATTCATCATTTGGTGATATTTAAACCAGATGGCTAGGCTTAAACTTGAAGGGAAGGACGGGGACAGTAGGAGTTGTACTCTGGCAGCTTTGAGATTGAGGGGTAAGGTGGGGAGGGTGTGGAGACAAGGGAGAGCGGGACGGAGTTTTTGGAGCACAACCTCCACTTGGTAAAGTTCCAGGTATTTGAGGCTTTTGTCCAATAGTATGATCCACTTTGGACAAACACAGCAGCCAGCAGGTTGTCCAGTGGGAGGCTGGCTTGGAGATTTCTGTAGGGTGTGGTTCTCAGGCTTTAAAAAATTGTATCTGGCAACTTGTTCTTGGGGTTTCTCTATAACTACTTTCCCCTTCCTGTTAACCTATGTCTTTGCCCATTTTTGTCAAGTATATTTTTGACTTATGTAATGGATAATTACTCATCCATATTTTTTGAGAGGGATAGAATTTGGGATTTGATATAGGAATCTAAGATTTGTTTTTAAGAGACTAGAGGTGTACAAGAAAGAATACTAGAATAAGAATCAAAGCATTGGCTTCTGGTATTTGTTATCTTGGAGCTGCTAGCCTTGAAAAGGTTGTGACTATTTTCAGAGCTTTATTTGTTAGGGTGACTATAAAATGGGGATAACACTGGCCCTTCTCTGCACGGTGAGGCCTAGAGAGGGAAGTTGACTTGCCCAAGGTCATTGACTAGTCAATAATAGAGCCAGAATTTGAACCTAGGCAGTACAGGCCCTGAGCTAGGCTCCCAGCACTATTTATATTGCCTCTTAAGTAACCATAGTAACAGTACAGTTGTCCTTACGTGAGAGTCGATGGGAAACTATTTCTGCTTACGTACTTTCTGCCATGGCGGATTATCCTTTTCTCTGATAGGCTCAGCAAAAAAACACATTTCCATTAGTTATTGCTGCTAAGGTACAACCATTTTATAGACTGGGAAGCTGAGCCTGAGAGAAGTGAAGTGACTTGTCTAAGGTGACCCAGGCTTTAAAGGATGGATGGGGATTCCAAACCCTGACTCAGTGTTCTTCCTTCTGGTTAAGGTTCAGTGGCTCCCTTCATAGACCCCGGAAATTAGGTCGATTTTTCTCTTCCATCTCCTCTAATAGGCTTTAGAGATTATTTGCTTATTTGAGAGGCAGAGAGACAGGGATAGAGAGTGCTCCCATATCCTGGTTCATCCCCAAATGCCCTCAAAAACTGGGGCTGGGCCAGGCTGAAGCCAGGAACTGGGGAACACTATCTAGGTCTCCCATGTGAGTAGCAGGGACCCAACTGCTTGGCCACTACTGCTGCCTCCCAGGATCTTTATTTGCAGGAAGCTGGGATGGGGGGCCAGAGTGGGTTTTGAATTCAGGCACTCCATTATGGGACAGAGGCGTCGTAACCCACATTTTACCCACTAGGTCAAAAACCCTCCCCCAGAAGGCTTTTCTTTTCTTTTCTTTTTCTTCTTGGCGGACAGGGGCAGGGATCAAGGGATGGGGGAGATCTTCCATCCACTGATTCACTACCCAAATAGTTATAACAGCTGAGGCTAGGCCAGGCTGAGCCAGGAGCCAGGCTCTCCTCCGGGTCTCCCATGTGGGTGGCAGGAACCCAAGTAGCTTGGCCCAACATCCCCTGCTTTCCCAGGCACATTAAGGTGGGGCTGGTTCAGAAACAGCAGCCAGCACTGCACCAGTGCTCCAGCATGGACGCCAGCATCACTAGTGGCAGCCTGACCTGCGCCTCAGCACTGACCCCCACACCCCAGTAGATATTTCCAGGTGTGATTTTTCCCTTTTTTCTTCTGACCACCCAAACACAACTACAGGGACATCAATAATAATAGTAAGCTGACCATGAATAATATCAGAGCCATTTGGATTTGTGTATTTTGTCTACTGTGTTTGTAGCTTATCAGTAACTATGAGCTTAACCTTTGCATGTTTATATGGAAACTCCTGGCTTAATCCGCTTCAGTGACCATTCACCACATTGGAAGAGCATTTAGCACTCAGGGGCTCGCTCAGTGTACTCCTACCTCTCTTTAAAGTCATTCTGTTGGGGGCCAGCACCTTGGTGTAGTGGGTAAAACCGCATCCTGCAGTGTGGCATCCCTTATGGCCACCGGTTGGAGTCCTGGCTGCTCCATTTCCGAACCAGCTCTCTGCTATGGTCTGGGAAAGCAGTGGAAGACGGCCCAAGTCCTTGGACCCCTGCATGCATGTGGGAGACCGGAAGAAGCTCCTGACACCCTGCTTTGGGTCAGCACAACTCCATCAGGGGAGTGAACCAGTGGATGGAAGACCTCTTTTTGTCTCTCTTTGCCTTTGCATCCATCTCTCTAACTCTGCCTTTCAAGTAAACAAACAAATCGTTAAAAAAAAAAAAAAAAGGGCATCCTAGAGTCTGTCCTGGAAGAATTGAATTAGCATTCCATGTGGGCCTGAGTGAAAATAAGGTTTGGGTACTGCTGGATTAGGTAATTCCCTGACAGGTTCAGGTAGTTGTCAAGGTAACAAACCTTCTTGCTGTTGATTTTGAATGAATCAAAAACTCAACCTCTGTCACAAAAAACTGGGAATCCTTTTCGTCAACTCTGTTGAAGAAATGAATTTGGGTTCTTGGGGTTGGCTGTGAGTTCCATTCAGTATGTTCATTGATAGGTCAGCGAGTCCTGGGCATTGTGTTAAGGTTCTAGCATTTCAGGTAGCAACAGTGTTTACTTAAAGGCACTGAGTACTTGGTGCGAGATCCTCACACTGAGTCCTGAAGCCTGCAGGGACCTGAAGGTGCCCATGAGCTGGTGGGGCATGAGGAAGGCTGCCTGGGACACTGGAGAGGTTTTGCTTCCTCTGGACTAGAGGGGGGTCGGGAGCGACAATGAAGAAGCACCATTTAAGGAAGGAATAGGATCTAGTTGGAGGCATCGGGAATGAAGGTATTCATTTTTATGTGTCTTCGTGGTGATGATTTTTTAAGTCTTGAGCTCTAAACACAGCTGCCAAATCCTCTGTTGAAAACCTGTGAAAGCAGGTCCTGCAGTGTATAGTACACCCCGTGGATAACCAGGTGGCTGTTCCCATGAAGAACAGCTTCCCCTGATTGCGACTTCCCCATATTTTAGGCTAAAGTGGATTATCTATCAAATAAAATTTGTGTTGGAGTGTGGCAATAAATTTGAAATAAATAAAACTAACATCTTTGGAGATAGACATCTGTTTATTTGCTACCCTAAATTGAGCTTGCCTCTTCTGTATTAGTGCGTTCTTTCCTGTCTAAGATCTAGTGTCTTATTCTGTTGCTGATGCTATAAGCACAAAAATCCCGAGACTGGGTGATGATTTCTTTTTGGCAGCTCTCGAGCCTGGGAAGTCTGGAATCAGGGTATTGGCAGATTTAAGATAGAAGCAGCAGCAGGTTTGGGGTCTGGTGAGAGCTGGTCTCTGCTTCCAAGATGGCGCCTTGAACTCTGTCACTGTCCTTACTTTCATGTAGGGCAGATGGGTTTAAAATAACTCCCTCTGGCCTTTCAGAAATCTGCTGATCCAGTCAGTCACCTCCCAAAGGCCTCACCTTGATACTGTCACATTGGTAATAAAGTTTTTTTTTTCAAGATTTATTTATTTACTCAAAAGTCAGTTAGAGAGAGATAGAGAGGGAGGAAGGGAAGGGGGAAGGGAGGGAGGGAGTCAGTCTTCCATCTGCTGGTTCACTCCCCAGATGGCCACAATGGCCAGCTCTGGCCGATCCGAAGTCAGGAGCCAGGAGCTTCTTCCAGGTCTCCCACATGGGTGCAGGGGCCCAAGGTCTGCTTTCCCAGGCCATAGCAGAGAGCTGGATTGGAAGAGGAACAGCCAGGACTAGCACCGGTGCCCATATGGGATGCTGGTACTTCAGGCCAGGCCTTTAACCCGCTGCGCCACAGCGAAGGTCTCACTGATGAAGTTCCTACACAGATTAGGAGAGGCACAAACATCAAACTCTAGCAGTCAGAATTATAATATGTTGAATGAAGACCATCAAGTTGACTTGTAAATGTTAACTAAGCTGGAGTAAACCGAGCAGTTTTCTAGTCAATTCCAGTCCAGGTTCAAGTTTAATCTTTTATTTCAAGTATGACTATTAGGGATCATACATGTTTTAGAATTATTTCCACTTTAAATGTTAGGCTTGGGATCAGCGCTGTGGTACAAGTAGGTTAAACCTTTGCAGCACCAGCATCCCATATGGGTGTCCGTTTGAGTCCTGGCTGCTCCACTTCTGGTCCAGCACCCTGCTAATGGCCCAAGAAGATGACCCAAGTGCTTGGACCCCTGTACCCACGTGAGACACTTGGCTCCTGGCTCCTGGCTTTGGATTGGCCCAGCTCTGGCCATTGCAGCCATTTGGGGAATGAACCAATGGGTGGAATAACTGTCTGTAACTCTTCCTCTCAAATAACTAAATCTTAAAAAAAGGTTAGTCTTAATTGCAGCAGGCTTAAATATCTGTTAAATATTTCCATCTAGTGAAATATGAATCTTAGTATTCACCTTTTTAAAAAAAGTACAATTGTAGATGTGTCTTTAGATACAATATGCGGGTTTTTTTTTTTTTTTTTTTTTTTTTTTAAGAGCAGTGGATTTCTTTTTTTCTAATTTGAGAGGCAGAATTAGAGAGGGAAAGACCAAATGGTCTTCCTTCTGCTGGAGAGGCTGCCAGGACGGCACCCTCAGGGGATGCCGGGCCTCAGGTGGAGGCTGGCCTACCAGCCACAGGGCCTGGCCCCTATCTGCATGAGATTGCAATCTTTTGGTGTCTTCACTGAGGCTGAGTTGTCCCATTACTATCTTTCCTGACTCTAATTTTGCATCTCTAAGAGTGACCAATTTGTAAATGTTTAAAGGTACAACATTTTTTTACATATCATGAGGTTTTAAGGTTAGGGTGTGAGATGTTTAACTTTCCCTGCCCTGGGTTCCTTGGTAGGTTTGGGTGTGGCTTAGGGATGGTTGAGGGAACAGAGTCCAAGCACCCCTCCACCCACCCCTCAGGCAGATCATTTTTGGAATCTTTTCAGAGGTATGTAATCTGCTTAGCAGCTTCAGTTACCTTCCAGAATTGTGTTTTCCTCACTTGGATCCTAGGTTTTAAAGGAAACAGAACCCATATTGCTTATTAAGTAACTTCCTTGGGTTAGGAAAACCGACATGACAGCTTAGTGACCATGGGGCGCAGTGGGAGCATGCTGGAGCACCAGTGTGCGCAGGTCCAGTGCGTGGGGGAGAAGAGGGGAGGTTCGGCGACGCGCTGTGTGTCAGGACCTGGGAGAGGTGCTGCCGTCCTCTTCACTTCCTGCACGGTAGCAGCCCACGTGGGGAGAAGCTGAGTGTTCTCGGGATTTAGTTTTCTTGGGGTGCTTCTTGGTGAATTTTTTTTTTTTTTGGTGAATTTTTAAAGAATGTTTGCATGACAGGACTGATATCACTCCAGAAGGTAACTTTGGTAGACTTATGTTAAGGATGTTTTGGGAGAATCAAAAGGTCTCCCAGGTCTAGTCAGCTGCTTTACTGGCAGGAAACTTTTTTTTTCTTTCTTTTTTTTTTTTTTTTTTTACAGGCAGAGTGGACAGTAAGAGAGAGAGACAGAGAGAAAGGTCTTCCTTTGCCTGTTCGTTCACCCTCCAATGGCCGCCGTGGCCGGTCGGTTGTGGCTGGCGCACCGCACTGATCCAAAGGCAGGAGCCAGGTGCTTCTCCTGGTATCCCATGGGGTGCAGGGCCCAAGTACTGCACTCCCTGGCCACAGCAGAGAGCTGGCCTGGAAGAGGGGCAACCGGGAAAGAATCCAGCGCCCCGACCGGGACTAGAACCTGGTGTGCCGGTGCCACTAGGCAGAGGATTAGCCTATTGAGCCGTGGCGCCTGCAGGAAACTATTTGAGTTTTGCAAAACAGGGTCCGTGAGAGGGCTATTTTATATTTTCTCCTGGTTCTGACAACAGTAAACTTACAGCATTTAGAGGACCTGTAAATTCAGATGCTTATGGCCAAGTTTTACTAAAAGTAGTACAAGAGGAATTTCATGTTACTAATGCTTAAAAAGTAAGTACCATGGCATGTCCTGGTCATTACCACTGTTTAATTTCCTAATAAACAGTACATCAAAGCAATGTTTTGCCTTTCAAAATATTCAATATTCAGAAACTGCAATATTATTTGAAACAAATTCTTTAATTCCCCAGGCTCTGTCTATAAGAGTCATAATTTTAAAAAAGGTTCTTAATCCTTGGTATTTACGGTTTTTAATATTACTATTAGGGGCAGGCGCTGTGGCACAGTGGGTTAATGCCCTGGCCTGAGGTGCCAGCATCCCAAATGGGTGCCAGTTCTAGTCCTGGCTGCTCCTCTTCTGATCAGCTCTCTGCTATGGCCTGGGAAAGCAGAAGAAGGTGGCCCAAGTCCTTGGGCCCCTGTATCCACCTGGGAAACCTGGAAGAAGCTTCTGGCTCCTGGTTTGGGATCGGCACAGATCTGGCCATTGTGGTCATCTGGGGAGTGAACCAGTGGATGGAAGACCTCTCTCTGTCTCTACCTCTCTCTCTAACTCTTCCAAATAAATAAAATAAGTCTTTTAAAAAATACTACTATTAAAAGTCCACAAATGATCATTAAGGAAAAAAAAAGTCCACAAATGATGACATTATTTGTAGTATCTTTCTAGTGACAGAACTTTAGGGAGTACTGGATTGACCCAAGTGTACTTTTCCTAATAAATTGTACACAGAGGTTAAGGAGTCATTGAAAAACCACTAGGAGGGGACAGTTTTTAAATCTGCATGGAGGGGTGATCTGTAGAGCAGTTTCCCAAAACTTTTTAGGGTCCCAGAGAACATCACCTTTAAAAGAAGAATCTGTGAGGCCAAGTTTTCTTCATATATGTTGTCAAAACATGCTATAGCTGCATAAGAAATAAAAATCCAGCTTATTTCTTAAGCCAGACATTAAAGAGATTTGCAAAATATTGAGAAATAAAGCAGTGCATTTGACATTAAAGAGATTAATTTTTAAGATGTCTCATTTTAATTCTAATGTGATAAAGATCAGTACATATAAGCCACATAAACTAATGCTCTGTGAGGCCCTCAGTTTTTAAAGAACTTAAAGGGGTCAAAGCCCAGAAATTTGAGTTGCTTCAGTAGTAAAAAGGGGAACTTGCTCCTGCAAAGGTTTGACTCAGTAGGAATAAATCTAGGATCTATGAGTAAGTAGTCTCCCTGCCTCATTGTGTTTATGTTTTTCTCTACTTTCATCCTCTGATGGGACATTGCAAAACTGGTCAAGGATTCTTCATTTTTGTTACTTTTGTGAAGTGAAAATTTAGACATGTTTCTAAAGGGCAAACAGTATCCCCTTGTTACCAGTAACGACTAAGATATTGAAACATACCTTTTTGGTGTTATTTTTTATCAAGTGCCATGTTTGTTACTTGTAAGCAGGAGTGGAGAACTTTTTTTTCTGCTAAGGGCCATTCAGATATTTATAACGTTATTTGTGAACAGTGCAAAATTATCAACTCAAAAATTAGCTTGCTAGGGGCCAGTGTTGGGTTGCTGTCTGTGATGCCTGCATCCCGTAGGAGCACCAATTTTGAGTCTTGGCTGCTTCCGATCCAGCTCCCTGCTAATGACCTGGTAAAGCAGCAAAAGACGGCCCAAGTGCTTGGGCCCCAGCACACACATGGAGACTCAGACGAAACTTACAGGCTCCTGGCTTCTGCTTGGCCAGCTCTAGCCAGTGTGGCCATTGAGGGAGTGAACCAGTAGATGGAAGATCTGTCTCTTCCTCTTTCTCTTTAACTTTACTTTCAAATACGTAACACTTTTTATTTATTTTTTTTATTTTTTATTTTTTTGACAGGCAGAGTGGACAGTGAGAGAGAGAGAGACAGAGAGAAAGGTCT